CTCGGCTTTCTCGCAATTCGTCTTGTGTTACTTAAGACGTACTGAGAGATTTCGACCAGTTTCACCAATGTAAACCAGACCACATTCACAAGGAATGCGGTACACACCAGGTTTCTGATATTCATTTACGTTGTCCTTATGTGTGCAAAGAGCTCGAAACAATTTGTTTTCGCTGGAATGGTATACCTTAATTATACCTGCTTCATTCCTCAAAAATTCTTTCGATTTTGTGTGAAGCCGGACCAATGTAAGGTAGACAAACAGACGACTGATATTCAATCTTCTGCTGTATACTTTGTGGCGTTTTCATAGCATTATCTATGAAATACCATTCATTTTTAGAACATTTCTTAAATTAAATTAATTAAATTTCAAATGACGCGAGCCAACAGATCACGACACTCTTGTATATAAAAGGAGCGTGTGAATTAAACAAGTCACATATTATTAGCACTGATGAAGATCCGGGCTTACGGATCGAAAGCTTTGCAGTAATAAATTTACGTGGTGTTTCCACAAACAAAAACAATTATATTTTATCGCCATGCAAACATTCAAAGAACTTACTACTAGAAATAGTTTACACTAAAACTGCCCCCGGCTGATTATGGTGTACTCTCTAGCTGTTATTAAAAATGATCATGCCTCATGGCTTACAAATATTAATACGACAAAATATTATTACTACTTTCTGGCTTTCTTTTAAAACGCTTAGAAGGTTGATAAAATTGGACGAACTTTAAAAATGAAACAGTAACCACGTGTAACTTGGTCCTTGTAATTCGGACTCTATGCGTCCCTTGTTACAAACGTTTTATAATGTGACCGCTGTGTGCTAAGCTTTGCTCGATTTTTTATATTTGTATTTGTTTTTGACTGACTAATGTGTGAACCGAGTCTTTTGGTTCCTGTTTCGATTAATGTGACAAATCGTATAGTTGATACTTGATAGACACGGAGTTTTTAATCTTGTGTTACTGTTTAACCTTTAAAGCTTTTCATTATTTAACGGACTGTCTCCGTCACCAACAACAGATAATACTAACAACGTATAGCCTACATGTACCTCACAAGTCTATTAATAGACACGTAAAACAGACCATAGAAATAAAATGCCGTTTGACAAGGTGTTGACCCAAGCGAATAATAATTCTTACAGAAAGCAACCTTTGAATCCTCACCTTTTAAACTTGCGCAGCTACGGCGCTACGCCAATAATTCACTTGCCTTTTATTATAAAATTTGAACCCTCAGCTTTTAAACTTGTGTCACTTGTGGCCTTTTACTGTAATATATGAACTCAGTTGCTTCTAATCTTGATAACTTTGACAATCTATGAGGCAATGGGGGGTATTGTTTTTTATTTATTTATTAACTTTACAATCATGCAAAAAATATATCAATGATTGAAGGTATGGTCAACAGGACATGAGTCCCATGTAAAGACC